TTGTTTTTGACATGTCATTGCAATTGCGAGATGTTAAAAATCCAAGGATGTCAGTCTTGGATGATCGTATACATGCCAATGCAATTTAAACAGGCATGGTTATTGTTTATCATTTATTAGGTGCAACTTAAAATACTGACTTTTACATTAAATCTAGTCCTTCACAATTATGGATTTTTCTCAAAGTGAAAATGGTTGCATTTAGTTGCAATGGTTGCAAGAAAATCATTCAAACCTGCCAACCATTTGTAATGGTTACAAATCATTGAAACACTTTCAATGATTTGCAACCACAATTGCAATGGTTGTATCCCAATGGTTGGCAATCATTACAGCGATGGTTGGAACAATGGTTGTGCAATGGTTTGTAACCATTTGTTTTCGGAATTTCAAGGTCGGAATTTTTATAAGGGTGATCATGAAGTGCAATGAAATACCATGTTTAACCATGAAATGCAATGAAATACAATGATTGATCATGATATGCAATGAAATGCAATGGTCTTTCTTGCAATGCAGTGAAATGTAATGAAAGACCATGTTCAAAAATAGATTAATTAATAAATGTTAATTAGATAACCAAATTATTATAATTAGTGATTCTGATATTCATCAAAACCACAACCTTATATACTTTTGTTCATTTATTTAATAAATTAATTTCTATGATGAACAATTAAGTTAATAACCCTAGAAACAAAATTTTTTTGGTAAATAAATATGCTTTACTTTTATTTGACTTTTGTCAGTAAAATAGGAGATAAACTTAATATTTTGTAAGTCCAACTTCCAGTCTTCGATTAAACATCTTGACTGTACTTCATTGCATTTGATGGTTTGCATCCATGAAATACTGCAAAATAACAGTATTTTTAAATGCAAAATTTTAAGTATAGTGACCATGGTAATTAAATGGCTAGACTGCATATCATGGTTGAATGTCTAGACCATGATATCACTGCATTTGATGGTATTTGACCATGAAATACTGTGAAACGGTGGTATTTTTTAGATACAAAATTACATGTTAAATGACCATGGTATACCATCAAATGCAATGATACCATGGTCAAGAAACCATCAAATGCAATGATATCATGGTCGAGAACTTGACCATGATATCATTGCATTTGATGGTTTCTGACCACGAAATACTGTGAAACGGCAGTATTTTTTAAAAACACGCTGTTAACCATGAAATGTAATGGTGCCATTTAACGATCATGATCGGCCATGGTAATACCATGGTATTTCATTGCATTTCATGGCCATATACCATGGTATACCATGGCCATACCATGGTATACCATGGTATGGCCATGGTCCATTTCAACATGGTATCTTACTTCAAATAATGATTTTATTGGACAGTATTCAAGTACTGGGTTTCAGGACTGGGTGACTAGTCAATTTGTCTGGGCGATCACTCAGTAAACTCATAAAAAATGTACACACATTTTGGTTTAAATTTTATATGCTGATGCCTAGGGACAAAAGAGCTTCATTCAAAAGATAGTTTAAGATGGATAACTCAAATACCAGTAGACAGATTTTGTTCAAATTATAAAATTCCTGTTTTATGTTATTTTGTTAAATATCAATACACAAAACCCGACTGGAATACTTGTGGATGGATTTCTTTCATATTTGGTGGAAAATGATAAATATTATTGTTTGAAATTTTTGTAGTATATCCACAACATCTATCTATTTCACATATTTCTCAAAAAATGTACCCAAAAGTATGTCAACAGCACAGATAAACCAATCAATATTTTCAGACATTTTTTGGATGGTCATGTAGCCAAAACATGAAAGTTTTCTCCCCAATACACCATTTTTATCTCTGTCTTGCCTTTTTGATGCTTTAACCATTTACCTTTTACACCACACAATCAATGTAACCTCATATTTCGATGACTGCCTTAAACTTACTGCTACATTGTTCATCACATTTGATAATAATTCGATGGAATGTTTTGGCTTTCTCTTTGGATTTTGCCTTTAAGTTGTTCTAGGTCTTTTTGCTTGGAATGAGCATTAAAACACTCCTTCAAATAGCCACAGAGAAAGATGTTTGAGGATGACGATGGCAGAACAAACACAGAGAATCAGGTCAATTATCGGCAAATGATTCGGGAGTTACCTTCCAGAGTTACTGAGGTTAGCCTGGAGACTAAATGATATCCAAATGAAAGCACAGTGGTCTCAAATTGATTGAGCCCCCCCTCTACATACAACAAAGGCTACACTAGAATCCCAATGTAGTAGTAAGGATGGAGACTGTCATCGAAATATGAGATTACATTGATTATGTGGTGTGAAAGGAAAAGGGTTAAAATATCAGAAAGGCAAAACTGAATTAAAAACTGTGTATGGGGGAAAAAACTTACATGTTTTGACTTAAGCCCATGCAAAAAATGTCTGAAAATATTGATTTTGTTTATTTATGTCTATGCCGTTTGTCTATGCTGTTGATAAACTTTTGGGTACATTTTTTGAGACACCCTATATTTGGTGTTTCACCCTGACACCCAGGGGCTGTGTAGGGGGGGGGCTGGGAAAACAGAAAGGAGCACGTGGGTTATCGCAAACAATTTCAGAAGGTTATATCTCGGATTATGACTATTTTCTGACAACGAAGACAAGTTTATCTTTTAGATCAATTCATTATCTCAAAGAAAATTATGCACAGTAATAATAAATTCAAACAAACTCGGAGATATTCAACTTGCAATTAACCCATCAACAAAGATGTTGACCCATTTTCACCAAAAATGCAATCATTTTTTTTACAATGTTTAATGCATTACTATTCTTTATTTTGATGTATCAAATAGTTCTTGAAAGATAAGTGTTCCCCATGTTATTTCTCCATTGAAAAATCTCATACTATCCATTGGTTTCAGTTCATTTTGGTCATCAAAATTGAATGAGCAATCGAATTTTCCTTTTAGGAAATTGAACATGTCTCAAAGCACATTCTAATTATGCATTCAACAATATAATAATAGGTTGCATTTTTGGTGGAAATTAGGTCGACATTTTTGAAAAAGTATGTTGATTGGTCCATTGCCCCTTCAATATCACTTAGGTCTGATTAACTAAATTATCATTATATATACTTTTCTTGAAGATGATGAATGGATCTAAAAGATACACCCATGTTCATGATCAGAAAATATTCATAATTCAAGTTAGAATCGTTTGAAATTGTTTGCGATAACCTACGTGCTCCTTTACAAATTACAAATCTACAAATTATCTCAAACTTGTTACAAAAGGGTGCCCCGCCTCCCAAAAATAATCGTCACCATAGCAACAGCCATAACAATGGAATTGCCACTAACCCACTAACGTCTTTGGTCTTTTTTAATAGATCAATATTTTCTACATCTGTGAAAATTTCAATGTGATTGAATAAAGTATGGAAAAAATAAGAGCAGTTGGTTACTTACTCTCTGATCGGCCTCATAGATTCATGAATATTTTGGTTGTTGTGATTTGCTACTCCCTAGAGTTGCCAATTTCTTGTTACATTTGATTTAGAAATTATTTAAATTGTATCACTAGAACTTCCAATGGTATATAATATGTTTTTTGCTACATTGAATTTCTGCCTGAGATTAAAATGCACCATACTCTAACAGTTCATGTAGTATGGAACAGAAATTGCCAAGATCTCCTGGCTCAAACAAAACATGTAACTTGTGAAATCTTATGTTGAGACCAATTCTATGTGTAAGTGCTATAAAAATGATAATTTATTAGCCTAGCCTCCCGCCTGCCTCTACATCTGATAGGTAGGGTAAACTGATTAGTGAGTAGAGGGCTCATCATTAAAGGAAGTATGTACTGATCTCACTAGTTGGTATCAGTCTCTATTAACTATCTATATTTAGATGAAAGATTGCAGTGGCATTTTAGCTGAAGGTTTGGAGATCTAAGCCGACCTCTATACATGAGTATAGTATGATAAGATGTAACATCTATCACTAACAACATTGGTAAAAGTACGCCCTTACAAGCAGTATACATCTGCTGTATGTGGACAACTGCTGTACTCATTAGCTTTTCTACTAGATATTTTTAAGTTGCAGTTCGATTAGTATCATTCTTTGATCTCAAAGAGTTGTCCCATAGACTAAAATGTCATTCTTTCGAGGAACTTCATAAATTAACGAAGTTGGTGACCTATAATTTTTATTTTCTTTAAATTAACTCTAGTTAGTAAACTAGCATGTGTAGAAAAATATATATGGGGGATCAAATTGTTTTCTAGCTTTAAGTAAAAAACAAAGTCGATGACATCCAATTTTTATGCTTGAATATGAAGCAGAATGATGTTAGGAAGATTTTAATACAAAGAATACACACTTTTATGTAAAGTAATTTTAGGCCTTGCTACAGCCACCTTCATCAATATCAGAAAAACTAAATTCTAACTGAATAAACATGAACACGAAACAGATCAATTTTTGCAATATATAGTTATACATATTTTATGAATTATTATGTATATAAGAGATATGATAATCCCATATCATGACTGTAAATCAAACAAAATACTGTAAATAGGGGTACTAGGAATTAAACATATTGAAAGATTTGCTCATATATATATAGGCTATTGAAACGCTAATTGTCGTTTTTTATTATCTGACAGTTAACCTACAATGACGTTAGTACAGTGAGTATGTGTATGTGAAATAAAAATATTTCTTAACTTTATTAATTAAGGTAAACTAAATACCTTAATCACTCATGTTGGTGTTGTAATAATAATGAAACAACCTATCTTGTATTTTTTATGTTACCACCAGAAGTGTTATATTGTTATAGTCGCCAACTTTTTTGTGCAATGGTTGTTGCTGTTCGCCGGTTTGTGTTTGGAGTCTGTAACAAAAGACAGGTGGTGACATTTTGCATTTTAATGCCTTGTTTATTATTGTCTTCCATTATAGTTTGATATTGAATGTTTTGTTACTTTGTATTTGCAGTTGGATCATGGTTTATATCACCTATCACATCTGGGGCTGTCTCTACTGGACTGTTCTTTGTTGTGAAATATTTCATACTAACCAAGGTAAATAGATAAATCTTATGAAGCCTCTCCATATAGCTCTGATAAGCAAATTACCACTTACTCCACTCATATTGAAAGAATCATTAGGTTATATATATAGTTAATCAGTAATGCTATTTTGAGAGAGCTAGAAATACGAGGGTATCTTGTCTCTATGAATTATATTTTTCAATAATTTCTGCCAATTCATTTTCTACAATTTAGTACTTTTTTGCTTTTTAGGAGAATCAACTGGAGATAGGTCTGCGATTTCTTCCAATATTTTATGGTGTTACCTTAGTGATAAACTTGTTTAGTGTCTTCTATGAAGGTTCTAATTGTAAGTTACTTTTACTAACATTCTAAATTCATATCTGAATATATAATGTAATCTAATATACTACAAATATCATCTTTTATAATCAATTTATTACATATTGAAATTAATCTATTCACCAGTTCACATTTGTTAACCATGAAACCTTCATAAAAGAGCATGAGTGATAAGGAGTGACCTTATAAGGTATCATGCATGTAACCATGACATTCCAAATAGGACTTGATTCATAGCATGTGTAAGGTTTCTTCGTGAACTACTTCTCTCTGAAATGTCCTTTCTCACTGATTAATTGTTCTGTCTCTAATACTATTTAATGTAATCAAAATCGAACAACGTTCAGGAGGTTTGCTATTGTTAAAGTTATTCAGTCTTAGGTAGGTTTTTTCAATGGGGAAATAACATTGGGAACACTGATCTTAGGGGCATTTAGTTTTCCTTTCAAGACTTATTTGATATATCAAAATGAAGAATAGTAATGCATTAAACATTGTAAAAAATGATTGCAATTTTGGTGAAAATGAGGTCAACAAGTTTGAAAAAATATATTGATGGCTTGATTGCTAGCTAAATATCTCCAAGTCAAATAATTATCCAATCGAACGAAGTTCGGAGGGATATAGGGAACACCTCCGTCCGTCCGTACGTACGTCCGTCCATCCGTCTGTCCGCCCGGGCAATAACTCAAATACCGTTGGCCTGATTTTGTTCATATTTTGTAAACATATACCCAAAGGGTGTAGAAGTTCTGCTCGAAAACCGATTTACAAAATGGCTGCTCATTTAAAAATGGCGGCCATTTTAGTGCTGATTTTACAGTAATTTAGGTTCTGCATATAAAACTGTAATAGCAATATGTTTTAAATGTAAAAAAGTTATATAGAACATTGATTAAGCTAGAAATGCAAATATAGAAGAAATACATGGCAGCCATCTTGAAAAATGGCTGCCTTTGCACGTCATTTTACAATATTTGCTATAACTGGAAAAGTAGTAGAGCGATTTTGTTCATATTTGGTATGTGAATACTTTAAGCATGACACAGTGTCTAATAAAATTTTGGGTAGTATGCGGCCATTTTGAAAAATGGCCATCATTTTTACGTGTGTTATTTAACATTTTTTACTGTAACTCAAAAAGTAGTGGACCGATTTTGTTCATATTTGGTATGTGAATACTTTAAGCATGGCACAATGTCTAATGACATTTTGGGTAGCAGGCGGCCATTTTGAAAAATGGCCGCCATTTTTACGTGTGCTATTTTACACTTTTTACTCAAAAAGTAGTAGAGCGATTTTGTTCATATTTTATATGTGAATACTATAAGCATGGCACACTGTCTAATGACACTTTGGGTAGTAGGCGGCCATTTTAAAAAATGGCTGTCAGTTTTTACTATAACTCGAAAAGTATTGGAGCGATTTTGTTCATAATTGATTTGTGAATACTTTAAGCATGGCACATTTTCTAATAAAACTTTGGGGAGTAGTCGGCCATTTTGAAAAATGGTCACCATTTTTATGTGTGTTATTTTACATTTTTTATTATAACTCAAAGTAATAGACCGATTTTGTTCATATTTGATATGTGAATACTCATAAGGATTGCATACTGTCTTATGACATTTTGGGTAGTAGGCGGCCATTTAAAAATGGCCACCATTTACATGTACGTGTGTGCGATTTTAAATTTTTTTATATGTAGCTACTTAAACGCATATTACTTCTTCTGATGACAACTTGGTTAGTGAGCAACCATTTTGAAAATGGTGGCCTTTCTTATGTGTGTTATTTTATGATATTTGTTATATATTTCGTTTGTAAAAATGCCAACTATTTCTGTTCGATGGGATTCGCTACGCTTTGGCGTTGCCGTTGTTCTGGTTATTATTGTATTAAAGAAATATTCTTTGAGATAATGAATGGATCTTAAGAATTAACCTGTCTTCATGGTCAGAAAACATACATGTTCTAGTTATTATGACATCATATATCATATTACAAGTAGAATTCAAGGTCGTATCTCCAAATGAAACTACAATGGACAAAAGGCTTTAGATTGCACTGGAAGAACTCACAGCCAGGTATGGCTGTTTGGATTAACTGGTGTTTTTGTATATATAAATTGTATTCTTGTTTTTCAGTGCTTGGTTTTGATCGAATTCCACTATGGGGTGTGTTTATACTGTCATTTGGGATGGGCATAATATGTTGCTTACTGGTTCGATTTCTGATGGTGCCATGGATGAGAAGAAAGATTCAAAGTAAGTTCACTTGAGAATTTGAAATTTCATGTCTCTGCTTAGAAATATTTTTGAGTTCAATAAAAATAGTGTAAATATTATATGTCTTCATGTATTGTATACATTTATATAAACATGAACATATTTATTGTTGACCTATGCTATGGTAATTGTATTGCTTAAGGTGGTCTATAATGCTGCTTATTTTTTCTTGAAGCCACTCTTCACCCTTCTCTGCACCCTGATGTCCAATCAACATCATTCGACAATCTATGTGTTCCTGACACATTTGGGCATCCGGTAATGACAACGTCTACCCAATGTTTGCACCCGAAATTGACGTAATTCATGACTGAAATAGGGAAGACAAAAATATGTGATATTCTTTCAGAATTGTTTTTAAGAACTATTTACAAAAATGTTCCCGAGACACAAATCCATTTAGGTAAGGTTTGTTTCAAAGTCAAAAAGCCCCAATGAGACCATATAAACCCAAATAAAACCCGGAAGACTGCAGATTTCATGCAGGGCTTGTATTGCATTAACGCCGTCCCGTACATGTAAGGACTCAAAAATAATTTGGAGGACGCAAAAATTGAAAATATTTCCGTTTTTTGGACGCAAATTTTTTTTAGGTGAATACTACAATGTGTTTACAACGATACCTAACAAAAACAAATAATTAATTTATGATCTTTCACCTTTATTTGAATCGTAAATAAGGCTCAACATGTTGAATATTTACAAATAATCATGATTCTCTCGAATTTTTTCGACTTTGTTTATTTTTAGATATGAAACCATGACACGCCACAGTTTTTCCTATTCAGAAACAAATATTAGGTTATTCATGAAAGAAAATGTATTCATTGTCGAATGAACGAACATGCATTTATTCAGTCCGTACTAAACGTTTACTTCCGTTTTAAATTTGCGGCAAGAAATCAAAAACTGAAAATATGACAAGTAAGGTTAGAACATACATTCCCGAATGGGAAATAGTGGACACACTTTTTTTTATGTCCCCACCACATAGTGTGGGGCCATATTGTCGGCCTAGGCGCGTCCGTCTGTCTGTCCGTCTGTCCGTCTGTCTGTCCGTACGTCCGGCAGTTTTCTCCAAAACCGCTACAGATATCACCTTCAAATTTTCAGGGATAACTTATGAGTGCATACAGATGTGGATGAAAAAAAATTAACTCGATACCTACTTCCTGTCGGCCATTTTGAAGTCAAATGCTAAAATCCTTGTCTGCAAACTTTAAGAAAAACTGCTTCACAGTTGCTTTTAAAACTTTAACATCTTGTTCAGCTCACTTCATTCTAGATCTGATTAGGTTTTGGACCTGCTAGCTCAGTCATGTCAGCCATTTTGAATGTCTTAAGAAAAGTTAGCGCGCGATAATACTTTGTATCATATTGAATGGTGTTTTTGAGTTTTCATACTTTAACTATTTAGTAGCTTTATAAATAATTTCAGATGTACTTTGCTGTAAAAGCCTACTTTATTGTTAACAGTAGTTATATGTGATAATTTTGTAAAAAGAAATCAGCAAAAACTCATAAGGACTTTTTTATTGTCGGCCATTTTGGATTTTTCGGTCCTAAAATCTTGTCTGTGAAGTCTTGTCTGCGCGTTTTCAGGTGAACCGTTTGGTGGATCAATTTCAAATTTTCAGGGATGATTCTTAGTATAAAAATCTAGATCTCATTAGTTTTTTTGCATTCTGGGTAAATGTCAAGGCAGCCATTTTGGATTTTCCGTCTTAAAATCTTGCCTGTAAAGTCTTGTCTACGCGTTTTTAGGAGAACGGTTTGATAGATCAATTTCAAATTTTCAGGGATGATTCTTTGTATGAAAATCTACATCTGATTACTTTTTTTGCATTCTGCGTAAATGTTAAGGCAGCCATTTTGGATTTTCTGTCCTAAAATCTTGTCTGTAAAGTCTTGTCTACCCGTTTTCAGGTGAACCGTTTGGTAGATCAATTTCATATTTTCAGGGATGATTCTTAGTATGAAAATCTTCAAACAGATTATTTTTTTGACATTCTGGGTAAATGTCAAGGCAGCCATTTTGGATTTTCCATCCTGAAATCTTGTCTGTAAAGTCTTGTTTACATGTTTTCTGGTTAACTGTGTGACGGATCAATTTCAAATTTTCAGGGGTGGTTCTTAGTATGAAAATCTAGAACTGACTAAATTTTTGGCATTCTGGGTAAATTTTAAGGTGGCCACTTTGGATTTTCCGTCCTCAAATTGTGTTGGTAAAGTCTTGTCTACTCATTTTCAGGATAACCATTTCACGGGATCACCACTTGGTGGGGACATTTTGTACACATTTGTGTTCTTGTTTTAAATTGCGTCCTTGGGACTCACAAATTTTCTAACCTAATGCAAGCCCTGTCATGTAATGATTTACGTTCATGTCAACAAGTAAAGTACATATAATCCCAATATAAAACACTGGCCTGTATCACGGTGTTATAGCATGACGGTTACAACGAGATAGACGACTACGATCACTGATTTATCCAATAAAATGGCCGCAATGGAACAGAAAACTAAAGTTGGTGCATTATTTTCTTCTACTGTGTATCAATGAAAGGATGAACGATTTTTGTAGGCATCGCATTCGGTGATGCATTTAGTAATGTATATTTTAAACGTATTCTTTGCAAATTGATACCCGGGGATAACATGAAATAAGCGAAAAACTGTTGAGTTTGAAATTCAAAACTACACAAAATTTAGTAATTTGTTTATTTTTGTCGTTAGGGCATGGACTACATTGCCTTAAGACCTTGGGGTATATACATGTAACCTACATACGATCATAAAAAGCCAATTGAGCATTGGAAACCACCTAATATGTTCTACTTAAGCCATAATATTGTATTTTTAATTTAATTTTTAAATTGATTGACGGTTACGCGAACTTCATTCAAATATGTATCCCGGATTCATTGTTATTAATTTTGTCGTATTCATCAGTACTTGATGCTCATTCTTCTTTTGCCTCTTCATTGCTATCTTTTTGACTTAAATTGGTTTCATTAATAAAGCAAGACACAATTTTTTCCTTGCCCTATAGAGGCTCAAACAAGAGCGTCTCTTGCGAGTCCTGAAAACAAATATAAGCAATTCAATATTCCATTTCTTACCCATTATAACAATTACATGGAAAGGGGCTATCAGATCTAGCAACCTTAACTTGAAAGATGTACATGCACGTAACCGTCTGCAAAATATCTAATGTACATCTAATACAATACGTTACCGTCCATAGAATTCATATGTAGTCGTCTAACGACATTGCGTTTGAAATCTTATTATTTACAATATGACCACGTTCCTGTTCTGGATTTGTCATTTTATGGCTTGTTATCCCAACGAACGAAGTTCGGTAGGGATATAGTGAAGCCCTCCGTCCGTCCGTCCGTCAGTCAGTCAGTCAGTCCGTCTGTCGGGAAGATAACTCAAATACTAGTTGATGGATTTTCTTCATATTTAGTGGAAAGATGTATATTGGTGAATAGTTTTACGCAAGATGGCCGCCGCTTTAAAAATGACGGGACTTTTTCGCAAAAATCATAAATTTTTCATTCTAAACCAAAGTAATTAATATTATTGTTTGAAATTTTGGTAGTATATTCACAACATTTATCTATTTCACATATATTCTGTGTTTTTCATCCTAACCCCCAGGGGTTGTGTATGGGGGGACAAGAAAACAGAAATTTTCGATAATTTTTAGATCTTTCTGAAGTATAGCTTTATTATACTCAAATGAAAGGCAATTAAGAGTAGATTGCAGATTGTATCTTTTTATTGATTCGAGGCTCGTAAAATTCAAAATGGCCGTTTAATGTACGATCTCGCAATAATTTTTCGATCCCTTCAAAGTATGGCTATATTATACTCAAATTGAAGGAATTTTGGAGTAGATCACAATTATGGTATTATTTTTCAGATTTTTACTCCAAAAATTCAAAATGGCTGCTTTGCAGGAATTCGCAATTCTAAAATCTATTTTTTTCAATTTTAACCTTAAGTAATGAGTATAATTGATTGGAATTCGGTAATTGATATTTTGTTCGTTGGGATTTGCTACTCCACGGAGTTGCCGTTATCTAGTTTATACACAGTTTACTTACTGTTAATAGTTTGAGTGGCTCTGAGGCACATATACTGAGAAATCACGAGAATGGACTAAAAAATATGAACTTGGACATCTCAGTCGGTAAGTTTACAGCTTATATTCCGCTTCTAGTAAACCACCTGGCAGATTTAACCCAGTCTCTATAACCATCCATATATACGTCACCGAATGGAACTAGTTAAAAAGGAAATCTTATCTGTGAATCTTGCCTACAGGTGAGAAAGAGGACATGCTGTCTTTCCCATCCACCATTTTTTTTTGTTATCGTTACTGCAAAATTTTGCAAATCGCCTTGACGTAACCGTCATGCTATAACACCATGTACATGACATGTAATAACATGTTCAAACTGAAATATAGAAAATTTTCAACATAGCATTTGCTTCCATGTTCCCTTTGCCCCTCTCCCTGCTTAATAAGGCAATGTATCTTCAAATAAAACCTTAGCCAAAGAGTCTCTGGAACACTTTTGTAAATAGTTTTCACAAGCAATTTTGTTTATGAATCTCAAATTTTGTCTTCCAGATTTCAGTCATGGATTACGTCAATTTTGCGTGCAAACTTTGGGTAGACGTTGTTATTCCCGGACACCCAAACGTGTCAGGAACACATAGATACTTGAATGATCTTGATTGGACATCAGGTTATCAGGTTGCAGAGAAATCGTAATTTTACTGAGTGGCTTCACGAAAAAAAATAAAAAGGTACTGGTGGAACGAAAACATTTACATGTTATTTTCAGTTACAAAATTAAGTATGATGGGATCTGTGTATTTCCTTGCTTTTTTCAGGAAACCATAATTTTATGTCTTCTTTTAGTAAATCTTGTAAGAGGTCAGTGGTAAATCCAGGAAATGCTGATATTTCAAGAAAAATGGCTGCCTTTTAATTTTCCAAATTTCTTCTCCAAGTTTCTCAACACTTGATTGCCATTGGCCTCTTACCAGATATACTAAAGAAGGCAATGTGATAAAACTTTCCTGAAAAAAAGCAAGAACATACTTTATTTTGTACCAGAAAATAACATGAGCACGTATAGCAATGTTTCAAAAAAGTTTTATTTCCATCACTACCTTAACAATGATTGTGGACTTTGTAGAAGAGGTGCTTTATGAAGGACCAGGTGACACTAAATCTGAAGACTCTAAAGTCAAATATACATTCCAAAAGTCAGGTCAGTATTAGTTTTTCATGTTTCATTGAGTGTAAGATATCCCCATATTTAAAGCATAAGCTTTGTGATAAAGGGTTATGATGTTCACTGTGAAACCAGTCATATAATATAATGCAAGGGCTTTCAGTAGCTGCACATACACAAGTCAGCCCCCAAATTTCACTCCTTTTCAGTCCCCAACTCTAAGCGCAACTCCCTCACAGATGGAATCGATCCCAAAATGCTTTCGCTTCCTGAGAAAATCACAGAGGTTGCTCATGAGTTGGAGCTGCAAGAGAAAGAGAACATGGAAAAAATCCAAAATGGAAGTTTTGACTCAACAAGAAATGAAAGTAAGTTGTAAAGCTCAGATGAGAAATATTCTACTTTTTGATGTCATTATAGAGGTGTTTGTGTTTGTTTTATGAATCCTCAATTTTGTTTGCTTCGATCTAAATCATATGATGTCAATCTCCCAAATCAGAGATGAAGAAAATAGTTTCACTTCCGATTATATTTTTGCAGTTTTTCAACTTGCTTCAAATTGACCAATTTTTTTTCAAAATTATCTACAAGCTCTCAAAAGTTCAAATCTGGCTATAGATTTGACCTTCAGTGACCTTCTCAAGGTTTAAAAGGTCTTTTTTCTTCTTGCTTTAAATTGACTAATTTTTTTCAAATTCATCTATTAGTTCTCAGAAATTCAAATCTGACTTAAGATTGAACTCTTAATATTGTGAGCAACTTGTTGGTGATATTTTGTCATGTTAATGCCTTGTTACATTTTGATATTCTCTATATTAGATCTGAATGTAGAAGATGTAAGAATTCTTTTTATGTCCCCACCACATAGTGTGGGGCCATATTGTCGGCCTAGGCGCGTCCGTCTGTCTGTCCGTCTGTCTGTCCGTACGTCCGGCAGTTTTCTCCAAAACCGCTACAGATATCACCTTCAAATTTTCAGGGATAACTTATGAGTGCATACAGATGTGGATGAAAAAAAATTAACTCGATACCTACTTCCTGTCGGCCATTTTGAAGTCAAATGCTAAAATCCTTGTCTGCAAACTTTAAGAAAAACTGCTTCACAGTTGCTTTTAAAACTTTAACATCTTGTTCAGCTCACTTCATTCTAGATCTGATTAGGTTTTGGACCTGCTAGCTCAGTCATGTCAGCCATTTTGAATGTCTTAAGAAAAGTTAGCGCGCGATAATACTTTGTATCATATTGAGTGGTGTTTTTGAGTTTTCATACTTTAACTATTTAGTAGCTTTATAAATAATTTCAGATGTACTTTGCTGTAAAAGCCTACTTTATTGTTAACAGTAGTTATATGTGATAATTTTGTAAAAAGAAATCAGCAAAAACTCATAAGGACTTTTTTATTGTCGGCCATTTTGGATTTTTCGGTCCTAAAATCTTGTCTGTGAAGTCTTGTCTGCGCGTTTTCAGGTGAACCGTTTGGTGGATCAATTTCAAATTTTCAGGGATGATTCTTAGTATAAAAATCTAGATCTCATTAGTTTTTTGGCATTCTGGGTAAATGTCAAGGCAGCCATTTTGGATTTTCCGTCCTAAAATCTTGTCTGTAAAGTCTTGTCTACTCGTTTTCAGGTGAACCGTTTCGTAGATCAATTTCAAATTTTCAGGAATGATTCTTAGTATGAAAATCTAGAACTGATTAGTTTTTTTGCATTCTGGGTAAATGTCAAGGCAGCCATTTTGGATTTTCCGTCTTAAAATCTTGCCTGTAAAGTCTTGTCTACGCGTTTTTAGGAGAACGGTTTGATAGATCAATTTCAAATTTTCAGGGATGATTCTTTGTATGAAAATCTACATCTGATTACTTTTTTTGCATTCTGCGTAAATGTTAAGGCAGCCATTTTGGATTTTCTGTCCTAAAATCTTGTCTGTAAAGTCTTGTCTACCCGTTTTCAGGTGAACCGTTTGGTAGATCAATTTCATATTTTCAGGGATGATTCTTAGTATGAAAATCTACAAACAGATTAGTTTTTTGACATTCTGGGTAAATGTCAAGGCAGCCATTTTGGATTTTCCATCCTGAAATCTTGTCTGTAAAGTCTTGTTTACATGTTTTCTGGTTAACTGTGTGACGGATCAATTTCAAATTTTCAGGGGTGGTTCTTAGTATTAAAATCTAGAACTGACTAAACTTTTGGCATTCTGGGTAAATTTTAAGGTGGCCACTTTGGATTTTCCGTCCTCAAATTGTGTTGGTAAAGTCTTGTCTACTCATTCTCAGGATAACCATTTCACGGGATCACCACTTGGTGGGGACATTTTGTACACATTTGTGTTCTTGTTAAATCTTTGCTTTGGCGTTTACTTTTAAGATATGGTTATTTAGCGATAACATTTTGGGAGCATTGTTTAGTCCGACAATATTTTCCTTTAGAGTTGGGTTTCTTAGGCTTCTAGCAGTTTCTCTCTCATAAAATCTCTAGCCTTTTTGATAGCATCCTGTATTATTAGGCTCATGGTTATCTATTTGAAATCAGTGTCATTTCCAATTCGTTCTGTCTCTCAGTTTGCGTTTCTTCCTAACTGACCAGGGGTTTCACTAGAATTTCACAACAGGCTAAATAAATGAAAACAACAGGCAAAATTAATTGGAAATTGTAATTTTAACATGGAACAGTCCCTGTTTACAACAGGCAATTTTGTGAAAACAACTGAATGAAACCCCTGCTGACAATACAGATAACTTGAGTGAATCTCGCCCGCCATCCCTCCCCCATTTACCACCCATGAATTATCCCCCAACTAAGGTGAGATCAAGAAATGGTAAGATAGTTATTGTTAGTGGTACATGAAGGTAAGCAACCAAAGTAATCACCATGGTATTGATCAGATGTACTATTCTATTTTTAGCTAATTAGAAAAAAATAAACAAAAATGTGTAACAATAAAAACTACTCCCTAAGAAACCCACATAAACCAAAAAGACAAATAAAAGACCTTACTGAGCTCTGAATAAGTAAACTTTTCAAGGTCAAAGGTCATCAAACTAGGTCACACAACTGTGCTATCTAAGTTTCTCAAAGTTTGAGACTACAAATCCAAATCAATATTTTTGTTTGAAAGTCAGGATATACATTCCTCTGAAGGTTCCAAACTGTGTGAGCACAGGACCGTGGGTCCTTTTTTGAAGTATAGCTTTATTATACTCAAATGAAAGGCAATTTAGAGTAGATTGCAAATATTGTATCGTTTTTCTGATTCGGCCCTCGTAAAATTCAAAATGGCTGCCTAATGTGGGATTTCGCAATAATTTTTTATCTCTTAAAGTATGGCTATATTATAATCAAGTTGAAAGAATTTCAGAGTAGATGGTATCACAATTACGGTATTGTTTTTCTGATTTGTGCCTCAGAAAATTCAAAATGGCTGCCTAGAGCAGGAATTCGCCATTACTCGAGTTATCTTGAAAGTATGGTAACATGACACTACAATGATCTCAAAGTTTTATTGAAGGGAAGAGTAGATGGTAAATATTACATTATGACTATACAGATTCATGATTTATATAGTGTTCGTTGGGATTTGCTACTCCGTGGAGTAGTTTTTGACTCCTAAGTTTAGATCCTGAAATTTAAAATTGAGAATTTAATTCAAACTTCAAGTCAAAATATAATTTAATGAACCATAGCACCCTTGTCAGTAGTGTTTTCCTTTCATCTGAAAAACTTGTCAGACAGTGTCGCCAAAATTCGCCAATTAAAACACTTGCCGAATTAATGACAAATACAGTATATTGGAGTGGAAAAAAAGCTTGCTTGCATCAATAAGAATGTCGGCTAATTTATTGCCAAATAAAACTACCTGGTCTTAAATGAGGAGCTGGAAGAATAAGAGCATTTTATGTTTATTTCAAAACAGAACGAAATGTGACATAAATATGGGAGATTTTGATATTTAATGATATTAGAAAGTAAACTGTACATCAGTTTTGATTTTTGTATTCTTATGAATATACCTTTAATTTCAGATGGACTGAACTTGAATGTGAACTTCAGCAATGGTGATATCTCTCCACAGAAAAAGGTAAGAGATTTTATTATGTATCAGTTTACTGTAACACTTCAAATGCTTTAAATCTGTTAGTGATCAAGTATTCAGAACATTTTAAAATCATGCAAATTATAATGATTAATATGCACAAGTAGGATATGCAATGACCATGTTTTTTCATTACAAAATTGCATTTTTGTATGTGATTTCTTCAGTAAAGCATGTTTTCTCTGTGTTCGTTTGATATCATAGTTTTGATAATGTTAAGAGGAAATTTGTATGTAACTTGTTTACATTAGTTTTTTTAATGTTGATTTGTACTCAGTTGACCTTATCACCATCCAGATTAAATTATGTTTACAACACTTTATTGGTGATACTTTTTTGTGAGAAATGTTTCATAAAATATAAACAATGTTATGAAAGGTTTTTCTGCATGAGAAGTAACCCTAACCATATATGATTTACAGAACTACTCATTTCTCTTCATATTACAGATATAAACTTGTCATGTATTATGGATTTATATTAATTATTATTGATTTTCAGCATTATATTATTGTTATGTTAGTAGAATTATTATAGTTTTAAAAGTATTTAAAAAGTGTAATTTTAACTTAAAAATCGGCCCAAACCAATGTTGGATCCTAAAGCCCAGCTTTAGAATGACAAAAAACTCTTTACTTCACAACCAATTCTGAAAAACATTTGCCAAAATTATGAATTGGGCATTGATCCAGCATTATTTTCCCCCTCCCTGTGTATTTAACCCATGCTGCTTTTTTACAGGGAGGTGTATCACCAGGTGCTGGTCCTTTAGAATTAACCCCAAGAAAAACTTTAGAGGTAGAGTCAAAAGGTAAGACATGGTTCATGTACAAAAAATCCTGATCTGGCTGTCTCTCCTCTATATTGGATGGACAGTTATAACTGGGGATTTTTGTGTGATTTTAGTGTGAATATTTTTTTCTTATTAACATTTAGTAGAGAAAGTGCTATTAATTTTCCACATATCCATTACTTTATAGATTGTGAAGAGATGAGGCCCGTGTAGTTAGGGCAGTTAAAATAAACAGACCAGATAGGATCCTGCTCGAAATAACTGTCAATTCTGTTCCAGTGTTCTGTTAGCAGCTTCATTTATTTTTATTGTATGTTGTCTATTTATTTTTAACGCTTTTCAATTGCAGATTGACTACAAAATATAAATAAAACTAAATGTATCTTGTCATTTCTGGAAAGGCTGCTTGTTTTATTGTTACATATGACCAATTTATATATATGATCTAATATACATGTATAAAGCAAGTATATGATCACTACCAAGGATGCTTGATCTGCCATTCCAAAAATGCCATGATGCTTGAATGCAAATACTTATCTTTTTATTGTCTATTTTAGAGGTGTCCCCCAATGTCAGCTGCCCCCCTAGTGGCTATGCTACCCCTCTCAGTACCAAGCCTTTACTCGACAATAGCAAGGATTCTGCTGACTTAGAGGTGAGATTTTCTGTTTGCTTTTGTTTGGATATTTATCTTGACCCTTAGAGCGCTGATTTGTTTTGGACGTGCATTCCGTGGAGACTGACTTGTTTGGGGATTGATTCCTTTTTTCAGACATGCATAAAGAACCTGATCATACCAGAAGTATGATGCATATGCATGTATCATATGGATGAAATATGGTAGCTAAGTTAGTAAAAATGCCATGAAAATGCATTAAGAGTTATGAATGGGTCATCTTACCCTATACATTGACTTTGTCTGAAAATTTTCAAAAAATTCTAATCACCATTTACCCACATATCAATGATATTTCCTTCAGTTTTAACAAATTAAAATGATAGATTTACCTCTAATATCATCACCTGATAATACATTGTGATCGATTTTCTCATATTTGATGAGTATTCTTCGATTTAATCCAATTGTTTATATCCAAATGTTCACTCCCGGTCACTTCCGGTTTCGAAATTCCGGTCAATATTTTTGAAATAAAAAGTATAAAAATATTTTTGTTTCATTAATAATTGTGTCTATTTAACTTATTTTGTAAAAATATGATGTTTGAATGTTAACAACACCATCACCTATCAAAAACATCACATTTTGAGAAGAATAGCAGCAAATTATTTAAAGGAATATTCCTTGCCAAACCATCTCTCTCCTCATATGGTAGCTATAACCATATATATGCTTGCCGTGTTTAGCAAAACACGCAAAAATGTTTTGATATGGTCAAATTTGATCACTTAGAAATGTGATGCTCAATTCCAGTAAGCTGCCATCTTTTAAAATTTCACACAGGAAGTGATGTCATCGACTCTCAACTTTGCATATAGCATTAGGTGAGGAGCTATTAAGAATTACAAAACCAGCTAAATATTCTTTTTCAACTTTGTATCTTATTTAATCCTTCTGAAAATCTCTTCTTTTATTCTAAGTTGACAAGCCCTGAAAATATTTTTGCACAGAAAGTAATGATCACTTGTCTAGAAGTGATTTTGTGCTACCTTCCTATACTGTTATGGGCGAGGTAATAGAAGTTGAGAGTTGATGACATCTCTTCCTGCAAGAAATCTTAAAAGATGGCAGCTCACTGGAAATAAGCACTAGATATTTAAATGATCAATATTGACCATATTAAAACATTTTCCCATGTTTTGCTAATTATGGAAACTATATATATGATTATAGCTACCATATCAAGAGAGAAAGGGTCTCGCAAGGAATATTCCTTTAAGGTAGACTTCTGACTTTTTGCAAACACTTTCAACATTATCAAGCGAGTAAACTCGCCCATCGTCTATCAGGAATGTGACGTCAAAGCGAGTAAACTCGCTCAGCGCACGTCTAGGGTTAATAAGCAAATCAGTGAAGCCCTCCATCATTTGTGTGCCCAGATACACAATTTGATCTTTGCAAGTATGCCTCATCCCAAATGAACAATGTTCAGTCCATCCGCATTTAAAAAAAAAATATATACACATATAGAAATGTTTTTAAGAAGTTAACAAAACATACCTGTCAGGTAAGGTTTTCCGTATCCATTTAGACCTCACAGCATATTACTTGCAATAGTTAAATATCAGAAATAATTATTATCCCATCGTACCTCTGTCTGTCCGGGCAATAACTCAAATACCATAAGCGAGATTTTGTTCATATTTTGTACACATATACCCTATGAGGGAAGAAGTTCTGCTCGAAAGCCGATTTTCAAAATGGCCGCTCATTTAAAAATGGCGGCAATTTTAGTGCCGATTTTACAGTAATATAGGTGCAATATGTAAAACTGTAATAGCAATATGTTTTAAATGTAAAAAAATTATGTAGGACATTAATAAAGCTAGAAATGTAGATATTAAAAAAGCACATGGCAGCCATCTTGAAAAATGGCGGCCTTTACTCGTTATTTTACAATTTTTGCTGTAACTCGAAAAGTAGTGGAGCGATTTTTTCATATTTGGTATGTGAATACTATAAGCATGGCACACTGTCTAATGACACTTTTGGTAGAAGGCGGGCCATTTTGAAAAATGGTGGACATTTTGAAAAATGGCGGCCATTTTAACTTATTTCACTATAACTTGAAAAGTAGTGGAGCGATTTTGTTCATATTTGGTATGTGAATATTATAAGCATGGCACACTGTCTAATGACACTTTTGGTAGAAGGTGGCCATTTTGAAAAATGGCCACCATTTTAACATATTTTACTTTAACTCGAAAAGTAGGGGAGTGATTTTGTTCATATTTGGTATGTGAATACTATAAGCATGGCACACTGTCTATTGATACTTTTGGTAGAAGGTGGCCATTTTGAAAAACGGCTGCCATTTTTGCTATATACTTTGTTTGTAAAAATGCCAGCCATGGCTGTTCGATGGGATTCGCTACGCTTTGGCGTTGCCGTTGTTCTGGTTATGTTATCTACATCTAGTCCTCACACAATCAATTATTTTTCTGATGAAGCAAACCAGATTAAAATCGCATGGATACATGTTTGTGTTACATGAAGTCAAAGAACACTGTCAATAAAAATGTATCTATATGTTCAGTGTGTTGTATTGAATATCTCAGTCCCAGAACGATCAATCAAATTAAACTGGTTTCAAATAGTTTCAGAAGATTAAATAAGCAAATGGTATGTTGGATGTGTTGTTAGCTATTTTGTTTTATCACAAAAATGCTTTAATTTGCATATTTGTTTTCACCACGTTCCAACTTTCATTGTATTGTCTCCTGTATGCATTTCAATTGTTCGGAATTTGTCAGTTCCAGAACGTTCAATTTATTTCTGGTTTAAAATCAAGTAATTAAAAGATGCAAGAGCTTTCCAAGTGTATATTGTATATGTAGTTAGCTACTGTATTATGTTTTATCACAAAACCTATTGTATACTTTCATTTTCTGCGAGGACATATCATTAAACAAATTTGAGTTTTGATCGAAAATCAGAGGTTGTCATTTAAAAATCGGGAGTTTTTGCTGATAAATCGTTAACAAATCAGGGAGTTTTTAACACAAAATCGGGATATTTTATGGAAAAAATCGGGATATTTTAATTGGGATATTTTACAAAAAATCAGGTTATTTTCTTAAAATTGGGATAAAAATCGGGATTTTGAAAAAAAATTGGGATGAGCAATAAAAATCAGGATTTCTCCCGATTTAAATTGGGATTTGACAGGTGAGACAATACTGAGTAGATTGTATAACAAATGAAAGTATTTAAAAAGTGAAATAGATGAAAATGTTAACTATAAAAATACACTGTACACTTAAGTGTTCATGGACCTGAAAATAGAGTTCAAGGACCCAGTTGTCTTAAAAATTAAACCCCACTTAGGTAGCAACACAATAGAATGAACTGTAGCAGAAATTGCCTGCTCCCCCCCCCTCCGTCCCATATTCACGATCACCGGGCGTGTCTCTTGAAAAAATAAATCTTTCAGATTTGTTGAATATTCTAGCAGAAATTGCCTGCTTCCCCATTTTTGGTCACCCAAATGTTAAATAAGTGGATATTCTGATAAATCCCTAATTTATGTCTCTTAATATCCATCAATTTATTTAAGGGTAGAGTAGATGGTAAATATTACATTGTGACATATACAGATTCATGAATATAGTGTTTGTTATCCCATCGAACGATGTTCGGATGGATATAGGGAACGCCTACGTCCGTCCGTCCAGGCAATAACTCAAATACCGTTTGCCCTTTTTGTTCATATTTTGTACACATATACCTTAGGGGGGGTAGAAGTTCTGCTCGAAAGCCGATTTTCAAAATGGCCGCTCATTTAAAAATAGTGGCCATTTTAGTGCCAATTTTACAGTAATTTAGGTACAATATGTAAAACTGTAATAGCAATATGTTTTAAATGTAAAAAAATTATAAAGGACTTTAATAAAGCTAGAAATGTAGGTATTAAAGAAGCACATGGCAGCCATCTTGAAAAATGGCGACCTTTACTCGCTATTTTACAATTTTTGCTGTAACTCAAAAAGTAGTAGAGCAATTTTGCTCATATTTGGTATGTGAATACTATAAGCATGGCACACTGTCTAATGACACTTGTGGTAGAAGGCGGCCATTTTTCAAAATGGCTGCCATTTTAACGTATTTTACCAGGGGGAGATTTCCCAAAGATGACCTTTCATATTGGCACGTTCGAAAATAATAATAATTAATAATTTCACTATATACAGGGTGTCCTGAAAGTATGGGGGCCCCCCTAGGCATACATATACCAATGTCTCCGTAGTATGTGTCATATATCATTTTAAAGCTCATCCAAAGTTACATTAATTTGCAAAGTATCATGGTTAAATTTTATAAATGGGAAAAAATTACAGGCATTTCAAAAGGATCCGTTACATTATGTACCTGAAGGTGCCCCCAAAGGTTTCATTTAAAATAATATGGAAATAGTTACTTTTATCAATTATGAACACATCAAAAATGAATTTAGGTCATTTGGATTAAAACTAAGGTCATTCAGTGCATTTAAGTTTGACTACGGAAATCATTCTAAATATCATTTTAGGGGTATATTAGTCTTCATTCATGATCATTTTAAGTATGTTGACCATTCCTCAATCGATATATCAGAACATCGTTAAGGTAGAACACAAAGGGCAACATACTGAATACACATATCATAAAAAAAACTAAAAACCTAATATATCTTTTGAAAAAATGACCCTTATAATAATAAATGTGCTCTCAACAATAGAACCATGATCACCTCAGTTGATATACAGTAGGCATTCAACCTAGAGGGTATATTAAAATATCATAAAGGTGGGACACAAAGGGCAACATACTGAAAACACAAATCATAAAATAACCCCTAAAAGTAATATATCATATGATGAAATGAACCTTGTTAAATGTGTTCTGAACAATAGTACCATGATCGACCTATATTTTGTATACAGTACTGTAGCTTTAACCTGGGTATTCAACCTAGATACTGAGTGTGAAAATATCATTAAAAATAAGGTAGAAAACAAAGAGCAACAGTTCAAAATACAAAACCTAAATTCAAGTTAAATCTAGTTGCGACTTTCCATTGCATTATATTTTCAATTGGCATTGTCAAAGAAATTAAAACAATGATAGATGACATAATGGTCTTAGTTTATTTCATATGAACACGTAACAAGCAATATTAATTCAAACAAATGACTAGCCGAAACATATTTTTTCAATTATCAGGCTCTGGTTTTTCATTATCATTATTTCTAACCGAACAATGATTTTGCATAGTTGACGATCTTGTTGAATATATAATGTACCAGTTTCAAGTCCTAGTTTCATGTACTTACAACTCAAAACATATATAAACTGTGTACATGCATCCTCCTAAGCAGGTATCCAGAATCCGTACCTCCTTCTTCCCCCCTGTTATAACCAATTTTGAAGCGCCCGATTAAACTGAATGACGTGATCTAATTATGCGCAATGACTTATACATGATTTCTGTCGCGACAGCCAATCAGATTGCGAGTTCTTAATCGGGGAAATGCTAACTGCTTATCGCAGGGGGTAAAAAGAAAGAATATATTCTGGATTTTGAAGCCCTGTGATCGGAGGATGTGTACATGTAGTCACAGAGAATATTTAGTGTGTAATATATTCAACCTAGGATGAAGCAAAGAATCACAGATTTAACAAGATTAGTTCATTTATTGGTACTGCACACTTGAGGACTGCTTAAATTCATTGTTATTACGGCTTGAAATTACAGGTATTTATATTCAAGTCCCGATTCAAGTATTGAAAATAACCATTGTCACTGATGTTTCATCAATATCATATGTATGATCTATCATTTGAATTTCTTTTATTCACTACATGTATATCCATATTAGAATATCTGCTGTTTGCCTGCAATGGACGTATAGAAACTGATTGAGCAAGGCCGCCTAATGCAAATGTATGTGTAAACTCGGAATAAAGGCGAATGAACAATGTAATGTCAGAAAAAAGATCAGGCCCATACTATAAAATCAGGTTCTTATCTTGACATTTAATGGCTGTTCTAACGACACTCTATCAGCAACAAATCGTGTTACAAATGCACCCACACGAAATTAAATCCAACTATTTCTTGATATAAGCATGACTGCTCATTCAGTTGAGTATAAATGTTGATAAACGTACACGGAAGCCAACACATACCAGGCAGACGATTCAATTTTCAGTTCAGTGTAAGAGTAAGTGCCCGGATATCGAAGCTCTAACAGGTAATGTTTTAATCACACGCGTAGAATCTTATTGCGTGTAGAATTTATCGATATCAGGATCGCTACATGCCAGTGAATTGATGTAATGTATATTTTACTCATACTGAGCTCTATAATTTCAGTCTCAGAGTAGTGACAAAGGACGAAATTTCATCACTGACCGCCCAGAGACAGGTAGACTCTTCAGCTTCCTTCAGATTCTTACCGCTATATTTGGATCTTTTGCTCATGGTGGGAATGATGTTAGGTCAGTATTCATACATGTACTAACTCATTTTATTCATGAGTCAGAATGCATATCCAAAGTTATTACGTTATTACCAATGCTTTCCTGTATTAAAAATGAATCACGCAAAATGTTGGATGATTGGTTGTTCATATTTATCCCAAGAAGCTCAATAAGAGATTTTCAAGATGGTCACTGAATTTCAAAATGTCCACTATTTTCTGTAAAACAACTGAACTTTGATAACTCAACAATGAAGGGTTTGGGTTCAAATTCTATATGCTGATGCCTAAGGATACAATAGATCTGCAAGAGAAGGAATTTTCAAAATGGCAGATGAATTTCAAAACGGCCACCATTATTCGTAGCCATTATTCGTAATAAAACATAATCTTTGATAACCCAAATACCAGTGGACAGATTTGGTAACCTTAGGAACAGAGGAACTCTGTTCAAGAAGATATTTTCAAGATGGCCACTATTAATGAAAACATGTTTTTTGCGGTGGCATTTACTACTCCGGGGAGTTGCTGTTTTCTAGTTCAAATAGCTCAATTGTAATATATATTTATACAACTTGAATGATACTTTCATATTCCAGTAATGCCATTGGTCCTCTTGTTGGTCTATGGGTGATTGCAACAACTGGTGATGTTGGTCAAAAGGCCCAGACGCCTATCTGGATCTTGTTATATGGAGGCGTTGGTATATCAGTTGGGCTCTGGATCATGGGGAGACGTGTCATTAAAACTATCGGAGAGGATCTCACTAAAGTCACACCATCAAGGTTAGATTGCTGTTTTGTAGCACACTATTGTGGTCTAAATGGTTAATTAATATATTGGATTGGAGACATCTTTGAGTATTAGGGAAGTAAAGCATTAAGATCATAAATATAAAATCAATGTATATGAGGAGGATTGGAAGAATGTTCTTTAATGATTGGTAAAACCTGCCAATGTTTTCAGGTGTACAAGTTGAGAAATATACATGGGTCATATTGTTATCAACTGACCATAAAATAAAATATATTTTAGAGGAAGCTGCTAATTTCTATGAAAAACTCTATAAATCAGATGATATCCCTGAAAACAATGTTAGTGAATACATAGAAAACACTAAACTGGATTATATATTAACAGATGAGGAAAAAGCTTTTATTGACAAACCAATATCCATCAAAATTATTCATCAACATTTTGGCCCAAAATTGAAGACATATTTTTGGATATGGTGGAAGAAATTTCTAAAGGAGCAGGGAAAGTATCGCAACAGACTTTTCACAGTTGATAATTTTTTTGTGAGTAGTTTCTTGCTGTAAAAAGTGAATGCTTGTGAAAGGCGAATCTATAATCTTCAAGAAAAGTTCAAAGAATAGTTTCCAGATCAATTGGATTATCTTATAATCCATGTTTAATCCACCCATCAACAAGCTTTTTCAAAATACATTCGTCAATGCAATGTTTTTCAATAATAACATGCATAGGTGGGTGAATTACTCATGCGTGTTGTGTTTTAATCCTGCATTCACTGACTGAGTTAGCCTATTGAAAAACCATAATACAAACAGTCACTGGCATGTAGCGATTATAGCGATACTGGATACTTTACTGAATTGTGTTGAAGTTAGACGTGTGGTGCGGAAGTTAATATGCAGATGACCATCATTTCAATGTTATATTGTTTGTAGGCAAATTGAGATTAGGCCATTGGAGTATTTGTTTCACGCATACATAAAGTATAACGCATTCAAGGGTCACATTTATCATTAAACCAATAACTCAAACATATGACCTTGTACACCGACCACCTCTTGAAATCAATGCAGGCCGATTTCAACGAATGCAAACGGTGATATATAAAAGAAACATAATCAGCCCTCCTAGACTTCCAACAACGCGAACATCAGTTCTGATACCGCGAACTACGTTCCTGGCACTCGAACCACGAATCTCATATCGCGAACGTGAAATCTTATGTCGCGCACCACCATTTCCTTGTTTCCGAACGTATTTCTTGTACCTCGCACAGAGATCCGTTACCGCGAACAATTTGTACATAATACATCCGGGTGTTTGGGATTCCAAGTTAGGCCATAAGAAGTAGATTCTTTGTTTTGCGTCCCCTTGCTTGCACGATTTTGAGTAAATCAGGAAAAACAAACACATCCAAATAGCAATCACAAAGGTCTGAAAGCTAATGTCAGTGGAGACGATGGGCTCGATTGCCGTATCATACTGCATTTGAACGGCGATACGGCAATTGCCGTATAGAACGTCATTATTTGTAATAACGGTTATCTTTTAAAAATCTAAACAATTCCGGACTTCAAATTCATATTAAATCATATAACATCCATAGTAGGTACAATTTTAAAGTATTTTCCATAAATAGGGGGTTCAAATTTAATGACATGAAATATTTTATCCTAGATATCGTTTATTTCTACTCCAGTGCACAAGGGCCGATTACAACCTGAAATTGTGAAATTGCAACAGACCCTCCTTGTACTTAATTTCGGCAATATTAAATAAAGAGATGGCATGAATTTTTTTATTGATATTAGAAGAACATATATAAAATAAAGTTTTCCTCGCGTGCATTTAAATTCTGCCGTGTGCAATTACTCCCGTGGGTTCTCAAAGTTTCACTTATTTTAGGCAAAAGACAAAAACGTACTTTGGGGGTTAAGGTGCTCTTCAGACATTCCAGAGGCGAAATTAACATGAAACCAGACAGGTTTTCATTTTAATTTTATCGTTTTTATAAATAACATCGTCTTCCTGCATGCATTTTGGGTTTGATTCATCCTTTACACTGACGTTTTAGGTATAAAAGTCTCGGCTTTAAGACATTACTAGATCGCATTCAAAGTACTAAGTACCGTTCGCATTACCATTGTTCTCAGAGGGACAATGCTGCCTGGATAATTTCGTCCAGCAACCAATTCGCCCAGAAACAAAACCAAGAGACGTATGTAGCAAGTGCCATTTCTGGAAACTCAGTTTAGAGTCGGGAAAGTGACTTGAGAATGCAGGAAAACTGACCAATCAGAATGCCCGATTCCTCAGTATTTCTCAAGTGAATCTTCGATTATGGAGAAACTTTTTCACGCTCGAATTCCACCTATCTATTGCACATGGATCGCTTCAAAAGTGATACAATCGGGAAGCTGGTTTTGTCAGCTTCACTATGACATTATGCTTTTAGAAATCGACCGAGAAATGGCGGAGAAAAAGACCGAAAAGTGTCATTTCTAAAACGGCGAGTTTGGAGAGCTAAAGTGGATTGGGACTGCTAGAAAGCCAACCAATCAGAACGCAGGATTTCTTATGTGAAACTTGGAATTCGAGAAATCGCCTTTACCTTCTATTTCCTCAGTTTTCTCGCAATTTGGTCACTACAAAGTGGAACCATCAGAAAGCTTTAGTTCCGAGCATAACCATGGTCTTATTTATTTCGAAATCTGTCAACTAATAGCAGAGTTATAGACTAATAAATGCCATTTTTTAAACAGGCAGTTTAGAGCCAGAAAGTGGATTCAGACTGCAACAACATTATGCAAATTAGCTAGACGTATCTAGGCAGGTTTTGTGATTGACAAGTTTCTCAAAGTTTGCCTTATACTTGATCATTTCTTGCAATGAATTACATCATTACTAGATTTAAGCAGTCTCTACATAATGCTCAATATATGTCAGCATCAAATTTTTACTGTTTTTGAGATATTTGACGTCAAAAAACAGTAAAAATAAGTTATTTTTCAACTTGCTTCAATTTGACCAAATTTTTTTGAAAATCATCTACAAGTTGCCATCTGACATTAGTTTTAGGATTTGACCTTTACTTGACCTTCAGTGACCTTCGAAAGGTCAAAAAAGTTGATTTTTCAAATTGATTTTTGGATGTAAATTTTGGTCAGCTTAATCACAAAAGACCTTACTGAGCTCTGAATAAGTTAAATTTTCAAGGTCAAAGGTCATCAAACTAGGTCACACAACTGCTATCTACGTTTCTCAAAGTTCGAGACTACAAATCCTAATCAATATTTTTGTTTGAAAATCTAGGATATACATTCCTCTGAAGGTTCCAAACTGTGTGAGCACAGGACCGTGGGTCCTTTATTAACTTGAGTAGGCTTACTTATACATAATGCTTGCAGTTAATCCTGCAGACAAAATATTTGTTGATGGATTAAAAAATGATATAAAATTTCAAAATTTTGGGGTCAAAATTTAACTTGCTTCAAATTGAAAAAATCTTTTTAAACATACCAGGAGTTTATTTCAAGTTTTGACTTGACTTGGATGACCTTCAGAATGTCAAAAAGGCAAATGGTGTTCTCTATACAGTGCGTTTCAAAAAAACGCAACAGATTTTTATCTTGGAAAAGCACAAAATCAGTGATAACAGCATTTCATTCAATGCACCATAAAGCCATGTGTCTCCTCTTTACAATGATATCATTCATTGATATTTGGTCATGGTTTGGCGAGTAATCATTCCATTTGCAAAGTGGGCCAAAATTATCTTGGGGCCAAGTTATAAACATCGCAAAAGTCAGTGTAAGGAGCCCGGTGCAATATTGGAAGAAAACATGAAACCAATGATGACTGCATCCTTTTCATTCAATGTACCAAAAAGCCAAATTACTCCTCTTTGCAATGGAATATCATTCATTCACATTGAGTCATGGCTGGCCGAATAATCATTAATTTTGCAAAATGGGGCAAAATTCAGCTCGGACCCAAGTTTTAAACATTGCAAAAGTCATTACAAGGGGCATAGGGGCTATTGGAAGAAGGTGTGACAGGTGTGGCATAGACAGTTAAGTGTTCATACTCATACTCTTGCAAGAATATATCCTTTACCCTGTCAAATTGCCACCACTTCCTTGCACATAAAGATGCGCTCATCTGTCCACATCATGTATGGTTCAGCCCTGAGTCATCTGTGGGTTTAAGCAGAGAAAAGCAGCCCATGGAAAAATGGGAAATTCTTTCTCGAGGTTTTGCAATATCTGGTGATCTGGTGAAGGAATTGTTAGCACAGATGCTCCCGAGATAGCTCCAAAAGAAAAAGTCACAACAATTCAAGTCAGGGGAACTTCCATTGGCACTTTGCCCTTGCACTGATTTTTGCAATATCTAAAACTTGGCCCAGAGCCGATTTTGACCAACTGTGCTAATGGAAGGATTTTTCACCCAACCATTACCACATGTGAATGAATGACCTATCATTGCAAAGAGGAGAGACGTGGCTTTATGGTACACGGAATGAATTTGATGTAGTCATCACTAGTTTTGTGATTTTACGAGATAACTACTTGTTGCATTTTTTTTGATATGCCCTGTATACAGTTTCTCAAAGTTTTAGACTGCAAATAAATAGTTTTGAGTGAACATCTGAATATACATTCTTGAAAGGTTCTACACATATTAGCAATTGATTATGTAGTAAAATGTTCAAGGATGGTCAGTGCCATCAAAGTGGGTCACGAAGTTTTATCCAAGTTTACGAAGTTTGTGATTCCAAATCAACATTTTTGATTGAAAGTCAGGATATACATTCTCAAAAAGTTTTATACAAACAGTGTATAATAGGTAATAGGGGTCCCGCGATTCATCGATGCATCGGCTCGTTTGGTGACGATACAAACGTATCGATACGAAGTCTCAAATATCGATACACAAGTGGAGATGATGGGCTCAATTGCCGTATCATATTGCAATTGATCCCTATCATACACTGTTTGTATAAAACTTTTTGAGAATGTATATCCTGACTTTCAATCAAAAATGAGGGACCCCTAGTGAATAAGTAATTGATTATCTTTTTAAATTTTGCACCAGTTTTGAAATATAAGCGAATTTCCATAAATATCATTAAGTTGCCAAAGTTTCCTATTCATTTACCCAAATAGAAATTGTTTAAAATGTAATCTTATGTTTTGCAGTGGATTTTGCATAGAAATTGGCTCAGCTTTAACTGTACTGATTGCTTCTAACATTGGCATACCCATCAGTACAACTCATTGCAAGGTTGGCTCAATTGTGTTCGTGGGCCGATTCAGATCCAAGGAGAATGTCGATTGGTTGCTATTTAGGAACATTATCATCGCTTGGGTGGTGACTTTACCCATATCGGGGGGCATAGCAGCAGCTATGATGGCTGGCCTTAGGCTCACAGTACCACATTAATCACTTATTATACCACTCTGTAGAAAAGGACAATGTCTCGCAATACAAAATTATTGCCAAGGAAGGTGTCAACAAGACTAGTGTCATTTCAACAGAGACTTTTGGATCTGTGCTTTTAAACCTGCACATTACCCTAGAATGCAATCTTCGGTTGTTCCGGCGTCAACTGAAAGATTTTGAGCTATAATGAAAACATATACGATTGTGAACAATTGGCTTGTGCACAAATACTCACGATAAATGTGTCATTATGACAATTGTTCCTTCGATTCGGTTTGGAGAATGAAGTTCATCGGCTTATTTCGACGTTATCAATTATTATTATTAATGATTTTATTTTTTACAATCATGCATTACATGTATCTCTATCTCAGTATCTCTACTATGTGAGATTTCATTTTGATAAGATCAAATATCGATTTCAATAGCCCTCTGCCTTTAATCACGACATTGGGGGTTCGCTAATATTTTGTTGCTGTATGAAAAAAGTTATTTTCTGCTGTATATGTGATTTTTATCCCACCGAACAAAGTTCGAGGGGGATATAGAGAAGCCGTCCGTCCGTCCGTCCGGGTGATAACTCCAATACCGGTTGACGGATTTGGTTTAAATTTTATAGGCTTATGCCTTATGAGTGCAGGACCTCTGATCAAGAAGGAATTTTCAATATGGCCACTCAATTCAAAATGGCCGCCATTTTTCGTAAAAAATGTAATCGTTGATAACTCAAATACAAGTTGACGGATTTGGTTCAAATTTTATATGCTGATGCCTAGGGACAAAGGAGTTTTGCACAAAAAGAGATTTTCAAGATGGCCGCTTAATTTCAAAATGGCCATTTTACGTAAAAATATGTAATCTTTGATAACTCAAATACCAGTGAACGGATTTGGTTCAAATTTTATATGATGATGCTTAGGGACACAGTAGCTATGTTCGACAAAACTTTTACAAGATGGCCGCTTAATTTCAAAATGGCGGCAGTTTTTCGTAAAAAATGTAATCTTTGATAACTCAAATACCAGTGAACAGATTTGGTTGAAATTCTATATGATTATGCCTAGGGACACAGTCGCTCTGTTCAAGAAATAATTTTCAAGATGGCGGCCAATTTTCGTAAAAAACGTAATCTTTGATAACTCATATTCCAGTGAACGGATTTGGTTCAAATTTTATATGATGATGCCTAGTTCACAATGGTATAAACTAACTTTGTGCCAAATTTCATGCTTCTATCACAAAGTGCACAAACTTTTTAACATTTACACTAGCTATAATAAGCATAATATGTTTTGTTCGGTGGGATTTGCTACTCCGTGGAGTTGCTGTTTTTTTCTAGTTTATTTTGATGTACATATTTACAAAAATGTATTTTCCATGGAACCCACAATTGTTATGTCAAAAGATAGATAAAATTATCAAAATTTTCAGTGTGTTATTATTTTATTATCAAAAATTAATATAGTTATAAAACACTGTGGATTAATATAGTCATAAAACACTGTGGATGTTTTGTTGGCTGTATGGAAATGTAAAAATAATATAAGTGCACATTTTGCATTTTGAGGCGATGTGCAGATTTAAGATGAAATAAAGGGGGTGAAACAAAGGTTTGCACTCTGTGAGAGCAAATATTCGAATTTGATGCCAATGAAATTATTCTGGAGAATGTCAAGTAAATTGTATACACGTAGTTCTATTAATTCCCTCTAGCTAATAGAATTGGCATACATAAGAATTGACATACATAAGTATACTCGGTTATTATATTGAACTCTTATTTAATTATATCGCAGGGTTTTTTGCAGTAGTGACAACTTCTCAGCTGAAATGTGTGTATTGTTAATTAAAAAATTATTTTCTGGTGTATATATATGTGATTTCATTTTGATGATGTACATATTTACAAAAATGTATTTGCCATGGAACCCAAAATTGTTATGTCAAAGGAAAATAAAAACTATCAAAAATTTATATAGTTATAAAACACTGTGGATGAACTCTAACTGTGAGTTTCGTCAAAGGTTCAATTTGCAGGAGTAGCAACTTGGCACTTCTGGATACTGTACTCCCAGTAAATTTCGTGAATTTTGAGAAATCACATGTTTGCAGCTATTAAATTTCACAAGTTAAATTTCGTTTTTCTGATTCCCCAAGCTTTATTTAAAGTAACTTACCTTATGTACAGTAATTATCCCAACGAACAAAGTTCGAGAGGATAGTGAAGGCCTCCATCCGTCAGTCAGTCTGACTGTCTTCAGGGCCGGGGCCGTCTATAGGGGATCAGGAAAACATGACTTTTCGTTAATTTTGAGATCGTTCTGAAGTAAAGCTTTATCATACTAAAAGGCAATTTAGAGTAGATTGCAAATATTGTATCATTTTTCTGATTCGGGCCTCTGAATAAATATACGTTTTTTAGCCCAACCCCCAGGGCCCATGTATGGGGAGTTCAGAAAACAAAAATTTATTATTATAACTTTATTGCACTCAAATGAAAGGAATTTTAGAGTATATTGCAATTATTGTATCATTTTCATGCCTTGTAAAATCTAAAATGGTTGCCCATTATGGAATTTTTCTCAAAAATCTTATTTTTTCATTTCTAACCGAAGTTTTTACTCTTAAAGATTTTGGCAAAAATATATATGAAATGTACAATATACCATATAATCTCTAGCATCAGACAGCTTTTTGGAAAAATATATGTGTTTCTCATGTTTCTAGTGTGCTTACTTGTATCAAGACACGAATACCAAAGACAGTTAGGGATTTATTTCATTGTACAATCATGTATTGTTAACTACCTGTATGAAAAATGATTTTATAGATTATTATGTAAAGAATTTGAGGGTTGTGTGTATGTTATTTAGTACTAGCAGGTTTTAGAAACATTTCTTCCATGTATCACAATCAACCAACTGATGCACTTATTTCTTCTAATATTTTCTACCTAATATGGTTCGTGGAAAGAATTAAATTCTTTAAAATATGTCCTGGAGATGTCCATCCTGCACCCCTAGATACAATACATATTCCCATATGTTATACATAGAACATGTAGAACCTTATCAGGTATGGAATACACGGTTATATGTTGTATGTACAGTTAATATTTCCTATTTCATGAATGTAGGCTACAGTGTGAATGTAATAAAAAATATGCCTAGTTATTGCAAAATAAATAAAATTACAAATAAAAATAACAGCATACATTATCATTCTGTTTTTGGGCCTATTGGCATCTATTTAATTTGGCGGTTTTTCAAGTGTCCCAGACATCCTCCCATCCAACCCAATTCAAGATACTAATTGCAGAATTGTTAGTGTTGTTGATGAACAATTTCTTCAATTTTTATCCCATCAAACGAAGTTCGGAGGGATATAGGGAACACCTCAGTCCATCCGGGCAATAACTCAAATACCGTTGTCCTGATTTTGTTCATATTTTGTACACATATTCCCAATGGGGGTAGAAGTTCTGCTCGAAAACCGATTTTCAAAATGGCCAACAATTCGTCGCGTGAGAATAACTTTGTACTAACTGCCATTTTCAAAAAAATTGAGATAGACATGGAATTTTACTATTTGAAACACAGGCTTTCATCTCAGATACATGCCCCATCTCAATTCCCTCTCATTAAGCTAGAATTCAGTGTGAAATTGTACCATCTCCAGATAAACAGCTTATTTCTAATTTCAAATTGTCATATCTGATATCAACTGTTTCAACCAATCAACTGTCTAAGAATTGGTCATGTGACTTACAAAACTTGGAGTTATAACAATCTTATATTAAAACGAAGTATGCCAATATGCATGTTATTGTATCTAGAATGAAATAATGTTTTGTAACACAATACCATGCCAGTTTGCATGCCTGGCCTTTCATGTTTTAGTTTTAGAACTATTACAAGTAGATCAAAAAAATAAAATGATACAGTATGTGTAATCCCATGCATATTCAAATCATATGCCCTCAATTACTCTTTGTATTATGGATGCTCATTGGATTATTCATGGCCACATGATATGAAATAGAATTACTAATTTCCTCGAAAACCTAAATCCTCGCTACCAGGGAAGATGAAAAGTACAAATGACCAGTTAATTAGATCATGTGAGCAGTCAAAAGTACCGTTTATCTTCCCTGTTACCAGGTCTTACAGGGGTTTGAATGGCCAAATGCAATAGAAATGCATATACGAAGCTGTCATCATTAAATGTTGAAAATGAAAGACTACTATATTTGTTTCTTCAAACAGAGTACATAATAATAGGTTATATACTAGATATAGTAATCAAAACAAATAGTAACTCATATTTTGCACTACATTGCTCAAAGGCAATCACTGTCTGTATACTATTGAAATCTCTTTCAAAATGATGTTTTATAGTTTGTGGAAAAAAGCTAAATCTATTTAAACTAGCTTTAACTTTTACTGACCATACACTATATCAATAAGGAGTTATCTTTATGTTAGTATAGTCCCTTAAAACACTTATTTTATTTTCTCTTCATCTATGATTTACTTTGCGCTTTTCACTGAACATCTGGGATCTTTTTAGTTATTTTATTACTAGTATGTTTTCAGATTTGTCCTTTCTTTTGCATTTTTGGGATCATTGTTTTTAGATCATCTACATCTACAAAGAGCCACTCTAAGTCTCCACTTCTACAATTGCTTCAATTCCCAATTGTACTCCACAGAGTAGAAACCAACAGAAAATGAATGGATAATGATAGCTGCATCCCAATGAACAAAATGTGATTACCTAAATCGAGGTTTCATCACTTTCATTAATCTAAAATGAATTAGAATTTATTTTTCTATTTTCAAATTTCTTCCATGTGCATGTAATAAAAATTGGTTATGTCTTAGGCCCTAAGGATCTGAAACCTGCTGGTCAAAATGGAATTACGGACCAGTTGCAATGTTATTCTCCTATACCCAGTGAAAAAATCAACTGGTCTGTATCAAAAATAACCTGATAATGACCAGCGGACCGGCCCTTAGGGGCTACATTGTAATGTGCTGGGAGGTTTAGGCTACAGGGTTTATACCGAGAGAAATATGTGGGGGACCGTATTGGCATCATTGGTTTCAATGCATTGTACTTCTGCCTTAGTTTCAAAGGCAATAAATTCTTTTTGAAGGGTGTCCTGAGATTCCAAAATTAAGAAATAATTGTACTTATTTGAGAAATTGATTTTAAAGTTTTATAAATTGAATTTTCTTTATTTTATTAAATAATATTCTTTGGTTTTTGAAGACTTTTTTACAAACCAAAACATTATTTTTCATTCTAGATACAATAACATGCATATTGGCATACTTCGTTTTAATATAAGATTGTTATAACTCCAAGTTTTGCAAGTCACATGACCAATTCTTAGAGAGTTGATTGGTTGAAACAGTTGATATCAGATATGACAATTTGAAATTAGAAATAAGCTGTTATTCCGGTGGGAAATTGTATCAACTCCATTTCCATAGTTTTAAAAAAGGATCTTGTAAATTGTTTCAAGGTATGATATTTCATGTAAGATATCTCTAGGGTGAGATCAGGTGACATACAA